AAAAAAAAATAAAAATAAAAATAAAAATTCAGCCAAATCAGGTATCCCTTGAGGATAATTCTTCTTTCTCTGTCTGTGACAGATACTTTTAGTTTGTAGTCATAACAACTCACATAGGTTATCAGTGATTTTAAATTATTTTGATGAAAACAAGGGAACGCATATTTGCACTGCTTCAGTTAATTGCTGCCCATTGTAATTCATCAAGGAATGGTGGGGATAGAATTAATTTTATAGTTCTACCTGCTTGTAGGATCTTATCATTCAGCATTGTGGTATAGTTTTTGTACTTTACACTTCCATTGTCTCTTAACAGAAGGAGCATGGCGCTTTCTTCACAGTTCGATCTTTAAAAAATTAATTGTATTTTTATCCTAAGACTGTGTCACATGTTGCTGGCCCAAAACAACAGATATTGTCACATAGTCTGGAGGTTAGAAATCCAAAATCTGTTTCCTTGGGTCTAAGGGATCCACCTTGACATAACTATGGCCATCTTGGATTTTAAACTACTGCCTGTGGCTGGGTGTGGTGGTGCATGCCTTTCGTCCCAGCACTTGGGAGGCTGAGGCAGAAGGATTGCCATGAGTTTGAGACCAACCTAGGCTATATTAGTGAGTTCAAATCCAGGCTGAACTACACAGTGAGACCCTGTCTCAAAAAAAAAGAAAAAGATTAAACTGCCGTATTGCCTGCAAGGTGACCCTGGCATGTATTCCAAACCTATAGGATAAAGTCTAAGATAGACGAACATTTCTTAACTGATGCTTGACACGTTGATAGTTTTTGAACAGACCCAAGCACATTCCCACTGTCTACAGGTCACCCTTGTCTAGCTCAGCATGCAGCCTCGTTTGTCCTGCATTGGGGTGTTGGAGTCCTCTTGCCTTCTTGCTGCCCAAGACCTCTTCTGGCCTGTAAATCCCTAATACGTTGCATTTGGGGCAATCCTGGGTTTGTTCACCTCTTTCTTTGGTTTGCAAAACCTTCCACTTTGGGTGGCAGAAGGTTTAGGTGGTAACTGGATTTTCGCAGATACTGGGAAATCAGTGTCTTTGGGGCCTCCCTTCCTCCCGAGGCACCAGCTTTCCTGGCTTGTGGTCGGATCGCTCCAATCTCCAGGTCTGGCCACAGTGCCGCTCCCCTTCCAGGTGTCACGCGCTCCTCCGGCCCCTCTTTATAAGGCTGCAGGTGACTCCATTTCCAGGCCACCCATGTAATCCAGGTGGCGCCCCTTACTTCAGGATCACTAACTTACATCTGCATGCACATATCCTGAACAAAGCACATTTCTCAGGCAGCCACAGCAGAATTTGAGTACTGGTTAAACCCTGGTTTATTGATCTTGGCCAGTTGCCTAAACTGTTTGAGCTTCACTTCCTCTGAAAGTGAAATTAACCAGGTCTGTCTCAGAGAGTTTTTTGAAAGGGCTATGTTGATGTTGCTTCAGGAATTCCTGCTTAGTTTCCTTTTTCTTGCGCTCAAAGCCTTGCTTTGGCTCATCTTTGTATTTCAGAGCCTCATCTCTCCCTGGCATGTCATGGTTGTGCAAGAGGTGCTTCCTGGGTTCTTTTCTGTCCTCTGAAGGGCAGTGCGACATTACACTGTCATGCACTGAACCCGCAGCCGGGGACAGCTCGGTGACGATGGCCTATCCGGAGGTATCCTGCATGGGAAAGCCGAGTGCCCTTTGCTTAGCAAATAGGACATGCTTGTGAAGCAGAACCTTCATGCAAGCTTCATGTCAGCAGATGTGTTGTATGGGCGCATGGATGAGGCACGGAAAGCGCTGTCAGTCCAGACAGGGAAAAGGTAGCAAGGGTGTGACGAGTGTCTGGCGTGTATACGCACACGCTCAGAAAAGAAATTTTTTAGTATGTTGCTATTTGGGATATATATATGTATATAAATATATATAATTTTTTTAAATGATCACTGTGTCTGGCTTCAGAATGGTGTCGCACATCCCCCAGAGGTTCCCCCAACTGCTCCTTAAGCTGACTGGGAGCAGGAGCTAGTACTGTGTGTCCCCAGCCAGCATTCGGGTGGTGACAGGGTCTGAGTGCTGCAGTGTGAGGCTCCCCAAACACACAGTGGCCTTGTGATCTAGGACAGGGACACGTGTACCTACCTGGCCTTGGCCTTAGTTAATGAGTCCCTCAGCTTAGAGTCCCTGAGCTGCCAGCTGCCCTGAGGTTCCCGCTGGGTCACTGTGCCCTGGTTGGTGTCTGGAGGCCTCCTCTGAGGGGTTGTGTGGAGTCCTGCTGCTTCTCCGCTGGCTGTGCCCAGATGGGCCCACTGCAGCCGTGGGGAGGGGATGAACCCGGGCAGGCTCCTGGCAGAGGAGCCACATGGGGGAGCCCAGGAGGGAGTGCAGGAGAGGCCCACCGCCCACGCTTTCAGGAAAGGAGAGCAGCTCGCTGCTCAGGTCTGGCCCGGAGTGGAGCCTCTGGTGCGTTGGACGTGGTGTTGAGCGCTTACCCGGGGCTGGCTACACATCAGCAGACACCTTCCTAGGTGCTCTTGTCCGATGCTTGTGGCATCAGGCTGGTGGACTTACTTACGGACTTCTTTTTCAGTGCACGTTTGTAGCACAGAATAATGATACTCACCCTGTGTATTCATACACGCGTATAACATACTCTGATTATTTTCATACTCATTACCCCCTCTATCTCTCCTCCCTGACCCCTTTCTTCGTCTCTGAAGAGTCTACCTTCTAGTTTCCAGTCTTCTCTCTTTTATTGTTTTAGATTGCTCATATATGAGGAAGCATGCAATATTTAACTTTCTGGGTCTGGCTTATTTCGCATCACATAATAGTCTCCAGTTCCATCCATTTTCCTGTACATGACATGATTTTGTTCTTTTTACAGCTGAATAGTATTCTGCTCTGTGTGTGTGTGTGTATTTAAATTCATTGATCGGCTGGTGGGCATCTAGGCTATTTGCACAACTCAGTGATTGTGAGTTGCATTGGCTGGCAGACTTTGAAAGAAATCTTCAGTGGAAAGAAAACTGAATGTACGGTATTTTGCTCTTATTTTTGGGGAAACATTCCAAGAGCCCCAGCGGTGCCCAGCAGCGTGGATAGTACCAAACCCTGCGTAAGCAGTAGGATAGAATAGGGCAAATGTTTACATTTTTTAAAATGTGTTATAGTGAAAGACACAGTGTCATGAATCCCCTCAAATCCCTCCCTTACTTTGCCCACACGCATTCCCTTGTCCTTGCCACTCTCAGAAGCAGTTCGGAAGTCTTCTTCTGTGCCTTCACTGTGCTGGTTGTCTCGATGTCGTGAATCAGTTCAGAAGCTTCCTGGTCGTGCTGACTTTGGGGAAGAGTCAGAAGTGCCGTGGGGCCAGACCTGGCGAATGAAGTGGATGAGGACGCACTGTAATACTTTTATTTGACAGAAATTGCCATAGATGTTTGCTGTCCATTCGGGACATCTAGTTAGCTGCAAAAAGACACTCATGAGAGGGGGCTGGGGATTTAGCTCAGTGGCAAAAGCGCCTGCCTGGCAAGTGCAAGGTCGTGAGTTCGGTTCCCGGTACCGGAGAAAAACCAAAAAAAAAAAAAAAAAAAAGACACTCATGAGAGAAGACTTCCAGAATGGCTTCAGAAAGTAAAAAGTGATGGGATAAATCTGTTTGAAGTAAAGGGAGTATTTTGAGGGGGATTAGTGATAGTGTGTCTTTTACTGTAATAAATTATTTAAAAAGTTAAATATTCACCTTATATTTTGATGACACCACTTCTATGAATTTTTTTTCCTACATGTGATACCTAGGATGAGTTCAGTGTGTAAAATAGGAACAGCAAGATATTAACCCTAACTCCTAGAAGTAATAGAACATTTATAATAATACAGTAATAAAAGTTGTGTGAATGTGGTCAGTCTCTCTGTCTGCCTGCCTGCCTCTCTCTCAGAATATCTTATTATATTATGCTGTGTTTTCAGACCACAGTTGACCACATGTAACTGAAGTCACAGAAAGTGAAACTATAGATACAGGCTGGGGACAATTGTGTATAGCTAGAAATAAGTAGAACTGGGAGGCTGTGTTTAAGTAGAAATAAGTAGAACTGACACTCGGGAGGCTGCTGGGGCCTGGGCAGCGGTAAATGAACACAGAAGCTGGAAGCACAGTCTGCACCTTCACAATTCCTACAGCATCGGGAGAGAGGATCTGGTCACCAGAAGCATTGGGAGGCTGTGTGTCAGGCTGCCAGCTGTGCCGTGGAGGCTGAGGGACCATACAAGGTGGAGGCCACCAGCTGCAGGCATTCACCCTGTGCCGTGGGAGACTTTCTGGGCCAGGGTTGGGGACACACTAGAGGATGGACTCTAGTTCCTGTGCTTTTTGAACATACCTGATGACAAGATCTAGATTAACAAAATTGTAATACAAGAGGTGCTTTTGTGCAAGCATAAAAGAGTGCTGTGGTGGAGGGTGGGAATGATCTAGGACCCACTGTAGAATCCATTGCCTGCCTCAACAGAGGACTTCACTAGCCAGGTGAACACAGAGGTGCACAGCTGCAATCCCATCTACTCAGATGCTGGGGCAGGAGCGTGGCTTAAAACCAACCAGGGCAGCATAGTGAGACACTGTCATCAAAAGAAAAAAAAGCCAGGTGTGGTTGGCACATGCTTGTAATCCCAGCACTTGGGAGGCTGAGGCAGGAGGATTGCCATGAGTTCAAGGCCACCTTGAGCTATAGTGAGCTCAAAGCCAGCCTGAACTACATAGTAAGAACTTGTCTCCAAAAAAAAAAAAAAAAAATCCTCCGTGCTTATGTGAATCCCACAACACTGTGTGGCAAATTGGAGGGATTTCTTCACAATCCTTAAATCCCTTTCTGCTATCCCGTTTTATCTGTGTAAATAACTCTTTAGGAAAGAGGTGTTTTTGAATTATGACTGTAATATTAATGGCAGATCTCAGCCAGTAACTCAATTTCCGTTTTGTTTTACTTTTCCTTCTCTTTCCCAGTGTCAGATCAACAGTGCCTTGACTTCTTTCCACACAGCTCTGGAACTTGCAGTAGATCAGAGAGAAATCCAACACGTCTGTCTCTATGAAATTGGTAAGTAGGACGTTTTGCCCAGCCCCTGGCACAGCAGTGTTGGTGCCCGTGGTGCAGCTTTTCACCTGTAATGCGGTTCCATCCCCACAGTGCTGCCTTGCATGGTGAGGATGTTGGTTGGGACCCTGCGGGTGGAATGAAACTTACCGCTCTGGCTCTTAACGTTCCTCATAAGGTCTCGGGATGTGGGTAACGTTGTAACCATGTGTGAACACCTTTCTGGGCTGCACGTTGGAATTCAAAGCTGTTCTTCTTTTCTAACAATGCTTGCTTAAGAAAGCAGGAGGGCTGGGGATGTAGCTCAGCGGTACAGCGCCTGCCTGGCAAGCGCAAGGTCGTGAGTTCGATTCCCGGTACCAAAAAAAAAGAGAAGAAAGTGCAGCCCCAGAGAGAGCTGGACCCCGATACCAACTCTCCCCCTGGCCAGCCCTGAGACGGTGAGGTTGCCATGGGGCGCAGGACCCCCGCAGAAGCTGTGGGCTCAGGTGGGAGGCCCCCGATGCCTGTCAGCAGCTCCTTTTGCTTTTCCTACACTGGAGATGAGTTTGTGAGTGGACGTGGGAGTGTTCACTTGCCTAAGATTTCCTCCTCGCTCTCCCAAGGTGTTGTAGAGTCTTTCCCTGGCTGCACTGAACCCTCTGACCCCGGTACATGAGGAAGATCCTTTTCTGTCAGCTTCTCTGCTGTGCTGACAAGTGGAAGCCCAGCCTTGGGCTGGGAACAAAAATCATTCTTAAAAAATAAGGGCTCGGCAGGTCAGGGCTGAGCTATCCCTGCCTCCCCAGGCAAAGTCAGAGGGGCGGCAGCCGCTGTGGCAGGACCTGGGCCACCTGCTCCCACCCTGGCCGCCGCGGGGGCCGTCGGCATGCTGGGCTGGCGGCCGGAGTCCCCGGTGTGGCTGAGCACCGCAGGGTGGGCTTTGCAGCCCTTTGCGACCTCCCAGGCCCGGTGCTCAGTGTCATCCGTGTAACTTACAGCGGGGTCTCAGAGGAGTGAAGTGTTAACCTCAGAATTACATATTGTTGGTGGCTTGATTTGGGGTAAGCTGGTTTTAAAGAAATAAAAAGCTGAACATTGAAAGAAAAATAAAGGTTCGTACTTACAGTTTCAGCCTTGTACAGCGAGTCAGCCCGGTCTTCAGCACGCAGGCAAGGAACGTAGAAGGCGTGGGGGGAGTGTGGGAATCTCAGCCTCAGCAGGAAGGGCACTCGACAGGCTCCCCGCGGAGAGGCGAAGCAGTTGTCACCTGTCACCTCCAGAGCCTAGCATGCTTTTGCCACTTGCCTCATCTGCCGGTGACACTGTTGTCTTCCTGAATCATTTTAAAGTAAACGTGCAAAGGAAGACATAGGGAACCACCCAGTAAACATTATGTTTTCCGTGCCTGTTAGGGCCGAGGAAGAGAAGTGGCCTGCAGTCTAATGGAGAAGCATGTCTTTGTGTACACTAAGCTCTTTGGGACGTTGGTTTAGTCACCATACTACTAATTCTTCGCTTTCGAAGCCCAGCCTGGGCAGCCTTTTCTGGTACATCCTTTCGTAGTCTGTGGCAGGATAGCATGTCAGAGCAAAGGGAGCTCAGTGTCCCCCAACCCAGGATAGGAAGTCGACGCAGGAGAAAGTAGCAGCTCAGGCTGCTGCCCCACCTCTGTTGTGTTCACCTCAGATCTCACCCTCATATAGGTTATAGGATGAAAATAATGCACCTAAAATTTACTCTAAAATGTGTTATACCCCGTAGAATTTCACAGCAGATATCTGGAAGTAAGTAACTCCCCGCTCCCAAGATCGTAAATGGCAAGTCCCAGATTACACAGTTAATGAGACAGCCGACGCCAGAATTATTTTTTTATAGAGGCCGTAGTGTGTAAAGGGAAGAGTGTTGGACTTCGATCCACAGTTCTTCTCTCTTAATAGCTGAGTGGCCTTGAGCAAGTCACTGACCTGTTGGTCCCTTTGGTTGTCTCTTTGCCAACATGAGGTCACCATCAGCCACCACTGCAGGATGGCAGCAAGGATCAGCAAGAATCAGCAGGAATTACATGCAGAGCTGGCGCTCCCTAGGGCTCGGTTGGTGGAAGCCCCTGTGCTGCCACATGAGAATTAAAGTCTTGATTTAGTGCCGCTGTTCTTTACCAGAATGCCAGTGTTTAACGCAGGAAAGACGGGGTCCTCCCTCAGCGCTCCCACCAATGTGCAGAGGAAGGGTGGGTGGTACCTCAGTTCTGACTAGCTGCCCTCTGCTTCTCTCAGAGGTCTGACAGTTACTGGTAACAATCAAGAGAGTGCTTTGAGACTTTCTGAGGCAGTCACTGGTGTACCATGTAACCATACTAATGGCACTGCGCTGCTCAATCTGTTATTAAATGCCTTGTCTGAAAGTATTTAAGGGGAAAAAATTTCTTAAGGTTTCAAAGTAAATTTCTTAAGTGGTTCCCAAGACATTCACAGACAGGGATAGCTGGCAGCCGGTAGCTTAACGGTGGGCCACAGAGCTCTGTACTTGGGGCGGATGCTAAAGTCCCACTTTCGTAGGCTGGTGCAGCATGATCGAGCTCAACTTCAAGGACGCGTTTTATTCCTTCGAGAGGCTGAAGAACGAGTCCAGGTGGTCGCAGTGCTATTACGCGTATTTGACTGCAGGTGAGTAAACGTCCACGCGGCTGTGCCCTGCCTGCCTGCTGTCAGGAGCCCTCCTGCCCCGGCAGGCGGACAGCTGTGGCAGGGCGACGCAGAGCTTGAGTTTCCCCGGCTTTTCTGCAGCGTGCTAACGTCTTATACGGCCGCGTAAGTAGCAGAGGCCTATACCGTGCTCAGAGAGAGTCAGTACTGTACCCCACCTTCGCCCTGCCTTCCTGCTGGGCCGGCCTAGTCCTGGGCTCCATCTCAGAAATAACCGTTTGGAGGCTTTCCCAGATCTGGGATATTTTGCCCTCCATACCCTCCACCTTCCTTACTCCCTTTCTTTCTTTGCTGCGTTTTTTAATTAGGAGTTTTAAATAGTTTTCAAGAATTGGATGTGTCTTCTTATCATGTTAATGTATTTCTTTGGTAGGTGTCCTTTGTTAGAAAATTGAATGTGTTTGAGTCTTGCTCCATCCGATTAGCTCCATTGTATTTACGGTGCCATGGTCTGGGTGGTGTTTGAACACCCTCCATTTCTGTTTCCCCTGCGTTTTTTTGGCCGTTGTGTGAGATAGTTGGAGATGCACTGCCACCTGGTGGACAAAAGTGTTGTCTGCTGCTGTGATACATAGAAGGACTACATGATTTGGAATTGTAGGGGTGCAGAACAAGAGGAGTTACATATTCCTGCCTTTAAGAAACTGTATGAAAACCTTCTCAGGTTTATGTAATGAAGAACTCTCCTTACTCAGCCACATAAATGATTTTTCACTTAAAGTTCAAGACTAACCCAGACTTTTTTTGGTGCTGAGGTTGGCATATTTTTACCCTGTCTCAAAATTTACAAATTAAAAAGTGGCGAGGATGTAGTCCAGTGAAAAGACTTTAGGTTCTATTCCCCAGTTCCACCAAAAAAAATCTCCAGCTGTCTTCAACAGAAGTAGATGGATCTCTTCTTCAGGGTCTGAGGCATTGTGATTTTAGGCCTTTAAGGGTGGTTTCAATCCTGGTACTGTTTCTCTCTTTCCCTCTTCTCAGAGCCCAGGCCTAGGACCACTGATCTGCTGCTCAGAATAAAACACAGACAAACATGTACTTTAGTTACAAGGAACACGAGGATGGTCAAAGTCTAGTGACAGGCTAGGACCATGAGGCATGGTGTCTTTGGCTTTTATTAGGCATACAGCTTGATTGGGAGGGGTGTGCTGGTGAGCTGGAGGCTGCCACAAGCAGTAGGGGTGAACTGCTGACATGGTCAAGGTTCAAGACTGGAGGAACAGTGTGGTTTTGGAGAGTCACACAGGAACAGATCATGGTTAACTGGTAACCTGACCGTCTGCTCACTGCAGCTACTGAGCTAGATGGAATTTGCATGAGTCAGGTCCTCAGCTGCCATGTTATCTTGCTTTGAGGCACCAGAACTTCACAGGCCGTTTGTTAGTCTCACCTCTGGCCATTGGCTTAAAGATTAATCCGTCCTTCAGCCAGCCAGGGGCCTCGCCACAAGTCATGTAGGCCTAGGAGTAACTCTCAATTTATTTTTGTGCCAATTTGTTCATACTAATTATTGCCTGCTTCTACTGCATCAAGCTGGTCCACAGCACCCTGTCCTTCTCCCTCTTTCTTGGCCTTAACTTCCCTGGACCTCTCTGTCTCCCAATCTGTAAAATAGTGGGATTGACAGCTTCCTTTTGGTGCTAAAATGTTGCCGCTGCACCCAATGAGGTCATTTGGGGTTGAGGCTGACCAGAGCTGCCCCCTGTGGCTGGGAACAGGTTGTCTCTTCCTTGAAAGATTCAACCCACGGCCTCTGACTCCCAGGAAGAATCTCCTGCCTTTCCCATCACCTGGCATCCTCAGCTTTCTACACACATTGCTTATGCTCTCTGTCCTGCCAATGTGACCCAACCTCTGACGTGCCACACCCCGTGCTCTGCCTGACCAGGCCCACAAGGAAGTACAGAGCCACCTGGTTTTAGGGGTCCTTGAAGAAGAGAGGTGGAATTCTTAAGTCAACTTCAGACATTCCAACTGGGTGGCAAAAAATAGCCTAGGGCCAAGATGGTAACTAACAAAAAACGGGCAGAAGTGAATTCAGTGTCATAGCGGTGGAGAGAAGGGTGAGCACGCGTCATGGTGAAGGAGGTGGACGCGTGCCGAGTGTGCAGCGTGGGGAAGGCAGGGGACAGAGGAGGCAAGGGTGTGGTTAAGCTGGTCTGCGAGGGACCCAGGGAGGGATGCACATGGTGCACGGATGCAAGGACTACTCACCCTGCAAGGCTCGGCTCCACTTCTCCCAGCTCCTCACAGCTTCCCATGGGCCAAAGAGAAAACATCCTGCTTTTCTGACTCTTCTAAAAGCGCTTTGGTTCTCCTACCCTGAGGCCTGCTGTCGCTGTAGGCACCATAGCTATGGACCTCTGGCTGTGTGTGTGATCCCTGCAGCTGAGATTGACGTATCTTTGGGGTGCAGGCCCGTGGGCCTCCTCTTCCCATACTGGTTGGGAGCTTGTAGAGGTCAATGGCTGATGAACGTATGCAGGACTAATTCATGACTTTTTCCCCAGAGCAGGGTTACCTCACACTGCTTTCCTGATCCCCTGAGCTCCTCAGTGTCCTGGAGTCCTTGTTACCCCACCCTCTGCACATGTGGGCTCCATGTAGGGTGCACACCGCGACGGTAGCTGAGGATTGTGTTACATGCAAAGCTGTCTCTCCAACAGGAGAACAAGGACCATGGCTTTCTGCATCCTTCCAAAGCTCTGAGAATGCAGGCACCTGCGAAATAGCTTAACGGAGGGGTGGGTGGCCAGTAGGATGGCGCACCCTCCGTGGAGCAGCGTTCCAACACCCTTGCTCCCCGTTCTTCCTGCTGTCATCAATGGAGGCTCCACTTGGTGGCAGCTTCACTTGGTGGCATACCCTGCTGGATACTTAGAAAATACAATTCTGGTCTCTTACAGTTTGTCAGGGAGCCACGGGTGATGTGGACGGGGCACAGATCGTCTTTAAAGAAGTTCAGAAACTCTTCAAAAGGAAAAACAATCAGATCGAACAGTTCTCAGTGAAAAAGGTATGTGGGGCTTGGTCAGTCTGGTGTATTATTTACTGCAGGCGTTTGTAACCGACACTCTTGGATCGAGCTTTAGGAGGCTGTGTGCTAAGCTGGTGACTTACTTGTCCTGTAAAATGCAGTTCACCCCCGTGGAGGAATTTATTCCTGCGATCCTACTTCTGCTCTGAATCAAAAGTGCTCATTTTGCTGCAAATAACAAAAGTAGATTTGGAAAAAATAAAGAATGAACAGACACTCCAGGCCCTGCAGAGGTAGGGGGCCCATCCACAGAGGTGCGTGTCTGTCTACAGGGGAGGTAGTTTCAGAAGAACCCGGATGCACAGAGCCTCACAAGAAGCCCACAGCGTGGGACCCAGGGTTGGGATGTGTGACAGCTTGCTGTGATAGAAAGCAGTAGTGCATCAGCTGGGCCAGCAGAAAGCCCAGCACTGCAGGGGCCGTGTCCCAAACTTACTCTGCATTTCTGAGAATAAAATTTCCCTAAATTACCGTAAGAAATACGTCATATCCTAAATTCTCTATGATTTTAGTTTTAGGTTTCCTTTTACTCCATAAGCAAGTGTTTTTTTGGTTTTATTCATTTTCACAGAATGAGTACTTCACGAATTTATTGGAGTATAAGTTAGATTCTGATTTGGAATGCAGCTGAGAGCCTAGGACTGAGGAGAAAATTTAAAGGTGGATCGATCCATACCTGAAATGCGTCTGGTCTTCCGTCCTCCACACAAACCCATTGGCCTACTGTATCGTGTTATAAGTACAGTGATTTGTATGAGTTCAGTCTCCTCCCATATTTTCTGGAGACATACACCCCGGGAGAAGGTCAACTGCAATAATGAACTCAAGGCCCATCTACAGCTGCATTAAAAACGGGGAAGCAGATCTTTTTTAAATAGAGAGAACTCTTCATTTTAGCTGAGGAGAGGGTCGTTCACATTGAGTATGAACCCTCTCCTGCATGGCTCTGACGTATATGTTAGATTTAAATCTGTTCTCGCAAAGCAGAGTCTGAGCAGACTGACTAACTCCTTGCAGGCGGAGAGATTTCGGAAGCAGACCCCAACCACAGTGCTGTGTGTGCTCGCGTCCATCGAGGTGTTGTACCTGTGGAAAGCGCTGCCCAACTGCTCCTTTCCCAGCCTGCAGAGGATGAGTCAAGGTACGCACAGCTGTGCGCATCGCTGCAGAGCAGCCCCCGTCCGTGTCCTGTCGGCATCTCTGACTGGGAGGATGCAGCTCTGCCAGTCCTGGACAAAGGCCGTAGTGAGGCAGGCCCTGCCATCCCGTGGGTGATGGGGTTGGAGGCGCGGGTGTGGACACACGCTCGCCTCATTGGGAGTACAAAGTGCAGCTCTTCCTACATGTGTTATTAGTTCTACAGTTATGGGGGTTGCTGGAAGCATATTTCTTTTTCCCCGTGAAAGCACTTTGTGGTTTGTGTATTTTTGCTGCAGCGGGGATTAAACCCAGAGCCTTGGCACTAAGCTACACCCCAGCCCTTTTTTTGTTTTTGTTCTTGTTCTTTTTGAGGCAGGGTCCCGCTAAGTTGCTCAGGCTGGGCTCAAACTTGTAATCCTCCTACCTCAGTCCAAATCCACGCAGCCCTGGGGAGCGCAGTGTGAATCTTTGCAGAGAGAGAGTTCCTTCCTTCCAACCCTGAGAGCCCGCAGTGTGGACTGCACGTGCTTGGGAAGCTGTCCACCCAGCCTCAGAGGGGTGTGTGTTGGGCGTGTCAGCATGGCTGTCTGTAACCGCCCTTGTCAGTGGAGCTGGGAGGTCACTGATCCTGGCCTTGTAATCTCATTCATAGATCCTGCTTCCCACCTACTGCAGCCTTCCTTGTTGTGTATAGCTGTGTGTTCTCGGCAGGGCAGGGCGGTCCTGTTACACTCTAAGTCACACTGTGTCACCCTGCATCTCAGAACCCTCGACATACAGTTCACCGTCACATCTAGAGTAGACGCCGACCTTGTCTCTCTACTCTGCCTCCTGGGTCCCTGGGCACCAGCCATGCTGTCTTCCAGTTCACCCAGCACTGTTGACCTCAGGGCCTTTGTACATGTTCTTCTCATGATGCAAGTGCTATTCCTCCAGCGCCCACATAGCTCCTGCACTCATTTCCTGCACATCTTACTCATGTACCTTGTCTGTGAGGCTTGACCTGCACACACTCTTCCCTTCCCTCTTCCTGACTGGCTTTTTACCTTTGCACTTTTTATTTAACAAATATATTTTACCTGTCTGTCTTTTGCATCATTTCTCTCCCCTGCCCAATGTAAGATTCTTACAGGCGGGAGTGTTTCTTTTCCTGGCATAAATTCTATTTATTGCTAAGATCATAGTGCTTTAATTTTTAAAGTAATTTGCAATTTGCGGAAATAGTCAAACCATTTAAAGGAGTGAAAAGCAAAGTGTAAGTGTCCCTTTATTCCAGACACCACTTCTACAAAAAGACAAGTGCAGCCGTGCTTTGTGCTGACCCTGTGAAGATGCATTTCTACCGCTGAGGGTGTATCTATGTGTGTCCGGGGATGTGTGCATGTGTGTACACATATGGTTACAGCCACCCCACCTGTCTTGAGGTTCTGTGCCTGTAGATTCAACCAGCCACAGACCAAAAGCATTTGCGGAAGAATTTTATCATTACAGAGCACATGCAGACTTTTCCTCCTTGTCATTATCTGGTAGCAGGAACGGCATAATGACTGTCTGCACACACACGTGTCCTGTTAGGGGTCAGAGGAATTCAGAGACGATATGAAGTGTTCTAGAGAAGGTGGGCTGGTTTATGCACATACCACACCATTTTATTTAAGGGATCCTCGGGGCACCCTGGAAGCAAGCTCTGAAGGATACCAAGGGATGACTATACATAAAAAGAGAACATTCTCTTCCTCCTGTTCAGCCCTAGACTCTCTCACTGAACAATATTTTTGAGGCCATCTAACGTCCACACAGAGCTACTTTATTCTTTGGAATGCCCTTGTAGTATTCCAGAGTGTGAGCAGGACGGTTTATTTAACTAGTGTCCCACCTATGAACACACAGGAGTCTCGAGTCTCCTGCTACTGTTGACTGCCTTGTGCTTCCAGACCCACATTTACGTATATGTTCTTGTGTCTGTAAACAGCCCATATCACCTGGAGCATAAATCCCTAGGAGTGGAATTTCGGAGTCAAGAAGAATATGCTTGGTGGGAGTGTGTGGCTCAGTGGTGGAACGAGTGCTTAACATGCATGAGGCCCTGATTTGATCCTCCAAACCCCCCAAAATATGTGCTATTTAAATGTTTTGATAGAGTTCACCTCTCTAAGCATATTAAGTCCATGTACAATCTCCGCAGCATAGTGTTCTCCACGGCAATTCTCCACAGCTTTGCTGCCTTGCGTAACTAAAGCTTCGGTCATACTCCTCCCAACCCCTGACAACCACCCTTCTGCCTTCTGCTGCCATGATTTTGGCTGTTTCCACTAACACAAGTGGAATCTTTGGCCTTCTGTGGCTGGCTTATTTCACTTAGCATCATGTCCCCCGGTTTACCCCAGTTGTTGCATGTGATAAGAATTCCTTCTTTTTAAAGGCTAAATAATATTCCATGATATGTGTGTGTCACATTTTCTTTATTCATCTGTTGATGAGTCTTTAGATGGTTTCTGTATCACGGCTGTTGTGAATCATGGTGCCGTGAATACAAGAGTGCAGAATGTCTCTGAGATCCTGATCTTGGTTCCGTTGGATAAACTACCGCAAGTGAGTGTGTTAGATCGGATGCTAGTTCTAGCTAATGTTTGAGGGAGCGCCACACTGCTTTCCACGGCAGCCACACCATTCCTACCAGCGGTGCACAGGGTTCCATCCTCTCTGTATCCACACCAGCACTTACTGTTTTTTGTCTTGTTTTGTTCATAATGGCCATCCCAAAAGTTATGAGGTCATGAGTCTTTGGGGATTTTGATTTCCATTTTGCTGATGACTAATAATGGTGAGCATATTTTTCATATATCTGTTGGCCATTTGTATGCCTTGTTTGGAGAAATGTCTATTTCAGCTCATTTTTAAGGAGAGGAATTTTTGCCTGTTTTGTCAATGTTGTCACGTTTTTTTCTTCTATTTTTGAGACAGGGCCTCCCTGTGTAGTGCAGCTGGCCTTGAACTCGCTATGTAGCCCAGGTTGGCCTTGAACTCATGGCGATCCTGCTGCCTCAGTCATCATTAGAAAACCAAAACTGACACCACTTAATCACCAAAGTCCATAGTCAGCCTGGGTTAGACCCTGCAAGGTTCTTGGTCCTGCACCTTGTGTGAGTGCGGGCAGGCAGAGAAGGGCTGAGCCCATCAGCGTGGTCTGCTGTGAGTACTGCAGTTCGTCTTTCCTCCTTTGCTCACCATGGCAGCTCCTGATCTTTCTAATGTCTGCAAACGTTTGTCTTTTCTGGAATGTCACGTAGTGGAAACCCCATAGTATGTGGTCTTTCAGATGAGCTTCTTTCACTTAGTAATACAGATCTTCAGGGTTCTTTTTAATATAAAGATTATTCATAAAATTCAGGATCCAAGAGTAGTTCCAACAAAAGCAGAAATCATTTGAGGTGGTACTCAGGTAAGTGAAGAGAATATATAATACATATTTCAAGCTTCTACTCTCAATTGAATATCTCCATTTTTACTAATAAATTTTAAAACGAAAGAAAACATTTCCTAAGGCTTAAGTCTTCCATGTTTCTATATGAAGAAGTGTGTGTGTGTTTTGTTTTTTGGCTCATTACAGTTTGGTATTTTTGTCTGTCTTTGATCAAGGATACTCAGTAATGGATGAGGAATGAGGACTTTCTGAATCTCTGGGGGCAGAAACGTGAAGAAGTAGCTGAACAGTAAAACAGTCACTTAACTCCTGGCGGTGTTCAAAGAATTAACTGTATGTTTCTTTTCTGTCTTTTTTTTTTGGCTGTTCCAACTCCACTTCTCTTGAAGCTTGCCACGAAGTGGACGACTCCTCCGTTGTTGGCCTAAAGTATTTGCTTCTTGGTGCCATACACAAATGTCTAGGGAACTCAGAAGATGCTGCTCAGGTAAACGGTTAATGTGTCCTGGCTACAGGAGAATAAACCATAACTACCTACATCTTTGCTTGTGAGAAAAATGAAAAAGCACTAAAGGAAACCTAACCTCCCGCTATAGTAAGAACTGTATCTGCTTTGATTAATGCCATCTCTTTAGACACTAGAAGCCTCTAATAGCTAAAGTAATGTTTTTAATGTAACTGTAGTCTTAGGACTTCTTTATATATGGGCTTCTTTTCTGGCACTAGCTATTAATCAAAGCTAACAGTTTCAGAGAGACGGGGGAGGAAGTGAGGCAGACCCTTTGAGGGAGCAGAATAAAGCCTCACAGTTAAATAAAAACAAAAACAATCAGGTGTGTTAGTGTGCGTTTACTTTTCCACTCTTGCAACTGTAGATTATTAATGTGGGATTTAAGCTGCTGGCTTAGGCTGGGACTCGAACCCCAAGCCTCACGCATGCTGGGCAGACACTACCATGGAGCTATACCTCTAGCTTGGTTAGTTTTTTAAATAAGTGTGTTCCAGTGTTACTCGGACTACTCTTTGGAAGAGTTCATGTAGAGTAATAGGAGGCTTGCTTTTTCAGTCCTGGAATGTTGACATACTTATAATTTTAAACTAATTTTGTAATGTAGAATTATAATAGTTACATAGCTCTACATAGATCATGTGCTTAGGTACCAGCAAGATACATTTGAAACACATGTCAAGAGATGGTTCTTAGCTTGTTTTTCTGTCTTAAATACTAAAATGGGGATGTTTAGATTTTTAAATGCAGAGAAACATGGTTTCCAGCAATGGGATCCATAGAAGTTGGTGTGTCAGCTGGAGAAATAATTCGCACGAGTTAGGCGGACTGGTGGACAGCATATTCTGTTGGAAGTTTACCCTGCAGGCATGTGAAAGGCTTCTGAGATGGATAGAGAATGCATAGGAAGGAATAAAGATGAGAAAAGAAGAGGAAATCGTATCTCCTTTCCTGCTCCTGAGTTGTGATGAGCTTTACACCGAGTAGGAAAATGAGTTAATTCCAATAACATTTGTATTATTTCAGTTCTTTCAGCGAGCTGCTAAAGATGAGCTGTGTCGTCAGAATAACTTGTATGTCCAGCCATACGCTTGCTACGAGCTTGGCTGTCTTCTGTTAGACAAACCAGAGGTAAGATGTCACGTACACATTTTAATAACGTTCATCAGCAAAAATATACACACGAGCAGGTGCAAAGCATCCTTCATTTAAAGCAAACTGAACAGAGTACCGTTTTGTTTTCCGTGCATTCATATGGGATGAGTCCAAGATCCTGCCTTAGTGTCTTTGAGGAGATAATGTCCTCACTGAACTTGAATTACAAATATAACTTTTAGATAAAGATTAACTTGAGAGAGACTTATGGCCACTCTGCCCAGCAGAAAATGCAGTTTTTACAAATTTAGATAGAAACTTCTAATGCCATGCTCTTTAATGAAATTTTTACTGTTCATGTCCCCTCAATAGATATACATAAAATATAATGACTGGCCTGCCTTGTGAAAAATAAAGTTGACATTCTCACTGAGCATTCCCTTCAAAAGGAGGTGTATCTTACTATATTTAGATGAAATCTTTTAATTTTAGATTGTTTAGTAAAATTTTAATCTATGGCGTTATGCCTCAGTTGTTTCCTTTTACAGACTAATAGTGACAACTGTGAAAAATCATTTATCAAGTCATGCCTTGATTTAACCTCATAAACACGTTTATATTAAGGAAAAATTGAGTCACTGCTTTGACTCACAGCTGCACAATTGACGCAGCTCTGTACTGTGGATTTAGTTCACACGTCCTCCAGCAGCAACATCTTCTGCTTGAGTATAAATGAATGTAGCCACTGAGAGATAATATGTTTTTCTTACCTTTAGACTGTAGGAAGAGGCCGAACTCTACTTCTTCAAGCAAAGGTAAAAGTCCTGAATCTTCCTCTTTCCCATGGCCCTTCTTTTCCTGTTCACATACATCTGAATGTTTGTAAAGAGACGTTCTGTTCCAGGTTAATTCTGGAACGGGGAAGGGAGAACTGATAATTCAGCGAGCACTTGGTTTTTAAGTAAAATGTCCAAGATTGTAAAATATTCCTGCAAGGCGTGGTGGCTCATGCCTGTAATCCTAGCACTTGGGAGGCTGAGGCAGGATGGTTGCCATGAGTTTGAGGCCAGCCTGGGCCACATAGTGAGTTCAGGGCCAGCCTGAACTGCATAGCGAGACCCTGTCTCAAAAAAACAAACAACAAAAAAAAGATATTCCTATGAGAGCTTCAGCCTGTTTTATAAATGCTTTAGTCTTAGCATTTGGATAAACAAATAAACTCTTGCACTTTTTTGAGACAGGGTCTCACTTTGTTGCCCAGGTTAGTCTCAAACTCCTGAGTTCAAGTGAGCTTCCTGTCTCAGCCTCCCAAGCAGCAAGAGGGACTATAAGCATGCACCACTGTGCACTGCTCCACACAAAATGAACTTTTGATTTCATAACTGTATCCTTGAATTAAGAATTTCTAACAGTAGTTTAAAATTGCTATTTCAATAATAATGAGAAAACTTTTTCCAAAGAGAACATTATCAACATTCAGTTTACATTCCAAAAACTAAGCACAAGGTGTGAAGTTTGAGAAATGAGAAAGCCCAGTGGATGTGAAGTGTCTCCCGGGAGAGTACAGAATTCGGGTGGGGGAGAAGGAAATGCCGTGCGTTTTCTCCCGGTTCCCTGGGAAAGCTCAGCTAATAGTCCGTGCACATCTTTCTCTGGCCCCACAGGAGGATTTCTCTGGCTACGACTTCGAAAACAGACTGCACGTCCGCATCCATGCCGCGCTGGCCTCTCTGAGGGAACTGGTTCCTCAGTGACCGGCCGGAAGTAGCGCCCTGTCCCTCCCTACACAGGGCCGCACTCTGAGATCAAAGCAGAGGACAGAGAGAGGTCTTGTGAAGTTCGGCTTTTCTTCTGCAGACCACCTGTGCCAGGGATGCATTTCCCAGTGAAGCTGACGTATTCAAGATCTCTTTTAACCATGTAGCTAAGAAGTGACGATGGTGATGATGGTGATGGTGGTGGCGATGGCGGTGGCGGTGATACCTCCAACCACCTGGGGAGAGGGTTAAGTGACCTTGTTCAAACGTTTTAGTTTTGTGATTTATTATTTTTAAAATAAAATCAAACTAAACATTCATCCTGTGATCTCATAGGAATGCCTACGTTAGCACACACCTGATTGGGTAACATAAAGTGGTACCTGTGAAATTCTTATCAATACCGTTATTAACACTAGCATTTATATTACGTTTTAAAAAATAAAAGTGCATTCTAGTGTTTTACTTTAGCCTCAGAATATTCCTGTGAATAATGTAGCACAGATATTCTTATCCCATTTTACAGGCAGTGAAACTCAAGCACAAGAAGGCTAATTGACTTATTCCATTTATTCCTGGTATCACTGGGGCAATGAATAGAAAACAGATTTCCTGGCCACCAAATTAATATTCTTTTTTTCTGAAGGGGAAAGAAACCCTAAACATACTAATTTTAAAAACCCTAAACATTAAAATCTGAAATATATTAATCCCGGAATTCTATATTTTACGTATTTAAAAGCACAAGTGCTCTTCAGCTGAAGTTGTGACATCTAAAATATTCACCACCAAATTGTCCACAAAATGTCTCAAAGTGATGAGTGCTGGTTTTTCTTTGAAAGCCTACCAAGTAGGGGCAGATAGAAGACAATTTTATAGCTGAGCATGATGGCTCATGTCTGTAATCCCAGCACTCAGAGGCTGAGGCAGGAGGATCATGAGTTTGAGGCCAGCCTTGGGTATAAAGTGAGTTTGAGGTCAGCCTGAAGTGCATAATGAAACACTGTCTCAAAAAGACAAAAAAAAGACAATTTTATAATCAAACATAGGATTGGTATCTCATCTATTAAAAAGCCCCTTCTGTAGATTAAATAAATAACACCTCCATTTTAGTAATTCCTCTTTCTTTGTGAAAATTGTGTAATAACCAACGTTTTGGAAATCTTTTAACAGATTAATTAGAAGGATTTTTCTTGAAGGTAGGCTTTTGCCTCAAAATATTTGATGGTGAAGTTATTTGCTGGGCTATATATTGCCAGGATTTCATCATTTCCCCCTAGCTCAGGTTGTTTGTTATTTTAGAAGCAACTCAAAGTCGTTTCTTTCATCCCTTCATTGCCACCTTTTATCAATATTTACTTCATCTGTATACTCAGTACTAGACACTTGTGGTTTTAAAGGATCTAAATACCTCAGCCACTTTTAAGAATCTTTGCCATAATGTAGCTCAGTCTTTTAAGTGTTTTTTTTTTGTTTTTTTGTTTTGTTTTTTTTTTTTAATTTATATTGAGCTAAAGAGTATCATTTTAGCATATCCTTCATTTACATCCCTTTTCGGCTGAGGCATGATCTCATGTGATGTTAACATCTAAATATTTATAAAATGAAATGTAAGAAAAACAGCTAGAATGCTGGCAAACTCAATCTTGTGGGGAGGAATTTCTTTGGAAGAAGTTACCCCTCACTGACTTTGCTAACCCATTGCTTCATGTTCTCTTCTCTCTCTTACTGATCACTTTTGAGGGGACACTTTTTAAAGTATTTATTCAGGTTGGCTTCCTGCTGCAAATCACATGTGGATTTTATGTTTGTATTTTTTTAAGAGTAGGAAAGGTTTGTTGAGGAATAGGAACAGCTCCTGAGAGGCAGGAGGGGGTCCCCAATGTGTGGCCACTAAGGCCCTTTTGTCAGGGGTAATTTATCCAGCAAAGTCACAGGGTGGGTGCAACATGGGTCAAACTGTAGCCAATCTATAGGATATAAGTGGATTTTAGATACTAAGAAGAGAGAAAATATCGCCGTCCTAAATTCACTGAATGAGTTCATCCAGAAACCAAGAAGAGAAAATTCTTCTGAACAGAAAAATGAGTGGCCAGAAATACTGGAGGGTGACTATAGGCGAGAATATTACGAATCTTTCAAATATGCCTATTATCATAGTCTTCTTTTCTTCATCCCTAGTATGATGTGGCAAACTTTTCTGTTATGATCGTGGAGCCTTCTGACTCGTGAAGCTCTTGCTCCAGTCATTCACACTTAAATTTTCAGTTCAAACATTGTGCAAACTATTACTCCACATTCAATGATTGCAGAGTCTTGTGTTTTCAATTTTAGAAAAACTTATTTGTACATAACTTACTGTAAAAATTACTTTCATTTCCCCATAGGGATTTCAGGATTTCAAGTAAGTTTGTGTTCAGCTCATAGTTCACTTTGTCAGCCGTGGTTTTCTTTCCTAGTCAAAGTGTAGGTCTGTTCCAGCCTCAGTTCAGATAACCCTTGTGCTCAGTTCAGATAACCCTTGTGCTTGTGCTTTCGTGGAAGACCACGGACAAGGGATAGAAGAAGATTCTAAAGACCCTAACTAGCAAAACCACAGTGTGAGAACACTGAACCCTTAGGGTGGCTGAAACCAGACTGAGCTGAGTAATTCCAGCTGTTATCCGGCTGGGAGCTGGGAGGCCCCCAACCTGTGAACTGACTGTGATCCGCTTGGTAACTTTGCTTGATGTAAATGGCTCTTTTCCCCTTGCTGATGAAGAAAAGAATTATTCAAGTAGAATTATTTGCATCTGTGTGTGCTGCTGCTTTTTTTAAAATGTTGCCGTCAGTGTTTCCCCTTTCCTATTTTGCAGGCTCTCAAATGGAAATTCTAATTTATAAATGTCAAATATATTTTTGTATTAGATTGTGCCTATGATGACAGAAATCTCAAATGTATATTTTATGTATGCTGAGCACATTTTTATAATTTGACAGACTTGAAGGCATGGTCTAGTAATAATAATGTAATCTGTACCATACTGGTTAATGTGTTTAAGATTTTGCCTTTGTTGGGTTAGGCATCTTTCTAATTTCAGTCCCTGATGGCTCAGTCTTCTACTGAGTAAACAATTATAGCTTTCAGGTGTCACAGAAAATTAGACTATTTACTACCATATAGTGTATAAGTCAGTTATTTACTGAATTTGCACTTTTATATTTTAGCGAACTAAAACAACAATGTATATCTGATTTTTAAAAACCACACACACACACACATTTCCTTTATGCAAACTTTGCTAGCTGACTTTTCTCTTAAGCAATAGTAGTGGCAAGTGTTCAAATATGGCTTCATGAAAATACTTTCATGCCATCACAGTGCACTGTTTTGGTTTCTGTGGTTGGTATATTATGGAGAAAGACATTGTTAAGCCCAGATCATCACAAGAAAATATATACCAGAGGCAGTGACTTAAAAGCCAGGAAGAGGGAATGAAGAAATAGAACAGGACAGTAGGAACACGAGAATGAGAAATTGGTCCGTAGATGTAGCAGCATATCTGGCTTTTTCTCAACACCAGCAAGGAGTTGAGTTCTGTCTCCTTGTTGACTTGGGTATGAGGCGGAAACACTGCATATGTAACCCACATGACCTCTGAGTAACAATTGTTCGTCCCACTGGCTAGCACTTCTCGATTTTTGTTTCACAGATTGGCTCCATTAAGGTTTCTGATTCAGCAGGCGAGACTTGACAAGGCATTATCAAGGAGCTCCTGGAGTGCTTCCAGTGCAGGTCTGGATTAGAGGAATAATGCCCGAGGGCTAGGCTATCATCTTTTGTATTTAGTAAATCAGGGAGAAGAGTCAGACACAAGCAGAACTACATAGGTAGGTTAAGCTTGGCTGTAGAGTTATTGAACCAGGAAGAAATGCTTCTAACCCATTGGCTTCCGGAAGTAGACTTCTGGGCTGAGTTGTAAAGGCTCAGAGTGGTGCAGTCAGGTGACAATGATTGGAGGGGCCTCTGACGTCTTGGACCTAATGAGCTAAAACAGAGGTAACAAACAACATGTGTGTTCAAGAATCTGGGGAGTTGAGTGGGGAGAAGATGGTGAAAGAGAAGCTGGGGAAAACACACATAGGCCACACCAAGAATTAGGCTTCTCTAGGGTACAGATTAGGGGTTTGGGGAGGGGGACAGTAGAAAACAAGGTAGATTTGCATTTTTCATTAGATCACTATTGACCAAAAGCCAGATAAACACAAGGACAAGAGGACTGAAGCCGCATCAGATCATTAGGCATTCAAGAAGTCAAAGCAGCAAATGGGGAATGGTTTGAAAATTCTTGGTTAAATGTTTTCACTGTAACAATTTGCATTTCAGTGTGACTCAGAAAAGTCCTTGAAGAAATGAAAAAATAAAGGTCTTCCTTCTGAATCACAGGTATTTTCTGTGTAGTACTTAGCACTTGATAGCCGTTCCAGATGACTTGCCCGTTAGGCTACACAACCATAAAGGTCTCCACCTTGAAAAGACACCACAGTCGGGTCTCTGTAGTTTGTGTTTCAGAATTTTTGGCACCTCAGTTCATTACACCTTTGACACTTAAATGTATTATATGGCAGACTTTAAGAGATCATACAGCTGATCTTTTATTTACAGTAGGGGTGGAGGCAAGTAATGATGTAAAATGTACCACCTGCCACCACAGACCAATGGAAGAGAGCATTTGGAGAGATGAAATACGTAATCGTCTCAAAAAGATGGAGCTTATCTGGCACTTAATGGGTACTCAGTAATATTTAAATGCATGAAGGAATTGTCACAGACAGTGCTTTTGTAGCTTAGGCACTGTATAGACAGAGGCCTTAACAGTGCCTCTTACTTCAAAATGCTTTGGAACCCTTTCTTTTTCTGAATTAAATGGGGGAGGAGCCAGGTTAGGTCCCTGATGCTATTTAATGGTTGATTTACAGTGATTCATGTTGCTTTTTGAACACATGAAGATGGATTACAGCGAAGACTGCTTGGAATCCGATAATCGTGCTAATGGTGTTACTTGCTGCCCAGCACAAATATGTGAACCTGAATGGGTGAAAGAGCAGAGTGGGTATTTTTAAATGAGGCGTCACGTTGCTACTTTGGTGAAACTGAGCTTAAGTTACTCCTTGACTTGTGATCTGACATTGACGGTATGATCTGGAGCAGACATATGGTGCCTGATCCTTCTTGTGGAGAAACAAAGTTTCAGGTTTAACACCCAACTCCTTCCACAGGCAAGTTTCTCAAGAGAAAAAGGGCCATGGGGTGTACAATTATTCACTGTTGTGCGCGTCGTGGCAGAAATTTTGCAGGTGGCAGCCCAAGAGTAATTTAAGGGCCAGGCGTGCGTGGAATGGACAGTCAGTGACACAACTGCCAAAGATCTATCGCTCTTTCCTCCCAAACCGGCTCTTCAGGTGGAGTGAGCAAAGGCCCACACCCACACCAAATGCCGGCCTTTGTTCCATCCCGCTTCCCTATTGGCTACAGCCTCCGTGGCCCCGCCTCCTCACGTGGAGCCCTCGCGCGTCTCGTGAGGGGCGGTGCTTTGTGACGCACGCCGCGACGTTTCCCAGGCCTATAAAAGGCCGCACCGGCTTTGGTTTCTTTCAGGAGCCGCCGGCGAGGGGTCAACGAGGAAGCTCTATAAATCCCAGCCGGAAAGAAAGAAGGTGGGGCGGGTCTGGAGGCAAAGTCCAGCCTGCGCTCTCGAGTTAGGCACTTGGGGCGTCTGCTGTCACGGGAAAGGCAGGCTGAGCCCCAGGTGTCGGGGACGCGGGGGTTCCCCGGGCGGGAGCTGCGGGAGAAACCGGAGCACTGTGCGGTGGACGCGAATTCCGCTCGTCGCATCCCCCCCTTTTCACTGTCCTCCCCCCCAAACGGAAACGAAAGGGCAAAACAGCCCCGAGGGGACCCCGCCCCTGGCTCTTTATAGAGGGCGCGGCGGGTGCCGCTTCCGTGCCCTGTGGCTCGGACGCCCCCTGGGTGTCGTGGCTGAAAGCGATGCCCCGCGCTGGAGGGACGTGGGCCAACGGCGGAGTGCGGCTCGCCTTTGACGGATATTCTTAAAAGGAGTCGTTTGCGGAGAACTAAACTGTCACGGTGAAACAGACCTCGATAGCTGGATTTGTGGCCGCGTTTCACCCGTTGGAGCCGTTGCTCCTGTGCCACCCTGTTTCTCAGCGCGGTTGGGACGGTTCTTTGTCGGAGCTGCTTCCCGGATGAGGGCTCCGCGTAGCGGCGGGGCGAGGGCTAGGGGCGGCACCCGGGAGCAGGGCGTGGCGCCCTCCCGCAGGCGGTAGCCCTGACTGCTAATTGCCTACTTACGTACAGCGCGCTTTGAGCGTTTATGATGAGCCTGCCAACAGCGGCTCTGTTTTTAAAAGTGATTTAATTCAGTAGAATTCCCAATGAACGATACTCTGGTACAGTAGCACATTTTCACTAAGGAATCCAATATGCTTCGTTCTCAAAGGGTTTGCTCTGGCCAATACTTGTTCGTTTCCTCTTAACCTTTGGGAAGAAGTGTGCTTTTAAATATTCAACATTTTCTATGGCACATTAGTTTTTTATTAGAAGTTGCCCCTTTGCATAATTGCTGTAACTAAACCGTGCCCCTTAGCCCTATGAAAGTCGTTACTCTACTGTAGGGGTGTTGTTAAGTCTAAGGTTCATTATGCCACACTATTCTGCTCCTTACAAGGACCCCTGGGAAAGATTTCTCCTGGGTCTCAGTATCCGGAGCAGCGTGATTCTTTGGAGCAACTAGTTTTTTTTTTTGTTTTTTTTTTTTGTTGTTTTGTTTTTGTTTTTTTGGTTTGTTTGGGTTTTTTTTGTTTTTTGTGTTTTTGTTTTTTGTTTCGTTGTGTTTTTTTTTGTTTTGTTTTTTGTTTTTTAACGTCAGGAAACCTGAGCCATTTACCCATTTCCTGTTTCGTTATAGCTTTTTGGATCCCGGGCAGAGTGAAGGACTATGGTTTGCACTGAGAGGCTCACATCACCCTTAGCTTCATCGTTTACCTAACTTTCCCCTTACCCCAGAATGGAATTTAAAATTTTTCACTACATGTATTTATAAAACCTTCCTAAATAAATTTTAGAATGAAAATATAGTACAGCCTCTGCACTCAGGAAGAAGGGCAGGAGAAGGGGGTGTGGGAAAAGGCTGGCAGAGGGTAAGAAAGGGTATGAGACAAAGAGGTGTATATGGTTGTGGGTGGCATAATAAAACACGGATAGATTATACTTACTCTGTATGGTAACAAAGTCAAAATGGAAGCCAAAAAATGCATACAGATGAGCAGCATGTCTGGGGATCTATTTAGAACAATGAGGGGGAAAGTCCCTTTCTTGTAGAAATACTGTCTTGTAACTCTTTGTACAGAAAAACCAGTGCTGGTGCAGCTATTTAGAAATAGATACATGAGCTTAATTTCTCTTCAAATGTCACTTTACAGAATATTCACTGGGTGTTTTACAGAAACGTGTTTTATTTGGATTTTTTTCTTTGTTTTTTATATCATCCTGGGAGTCTCTGGCAGGACTTTCCCCATGGATTATTTTTACCAGTACTATATGTATTGCTTATCTGTGCATAGTAAGCAATTGGTAATGGGTTTTTTCCCCTTACCATCAAGACTTAACCCATTTTACTAAAATAAATACCTGGAGATAGAATTAAAAGTTATTTTTATTTTAAGACAGGGTCTCTCTCCAATTCAGACTAGCCTTGAGAACTGATTCTGTAGCCCAGGCTTGCCTTGAACTCATAGCAATCCTCCTGCATCATCCTGAGTGCTGGGATTACAGGTGTACAACAGCACATTCTGCTAAACCTAATTTTAATAGAAGATGGATTTAAGCTAAGTTCTTGGAAGCTATAGTTAATTCATAAGAAATACTGCAATAGAACATTAATTTTGTTTTTCTTCATTACAGTTGAGATTACAGACATCCTGCCAAAATGATTTCTTCAAAGTCCAGACTTGTCGTACCCTATGGCCTCAAGACTCTGCTTGAGGGAGTTAGCAGAGCTATTCTCAAAACCAACCCATCAAACATCACCGAATTTGCAGCAGTTTATTTTAAAGAACTTATATTGTTTAGAGAAGGTTTGTTATTGCTTTAGATTATATATTTGTTGGTTTAAAAAAGCATTTTTAAACTGAGAACTTTATGTATCTGTATTTAATTTCTGTGCTTATTTTCAGGGAATATGTCTCTGGATATAAAAGATCTGGTTAAACAGTTCCATCAGATTAAAGGTGAGTACCATCAGTAGTGACTGTTTTAATAATGTTGGCTTTAAATTACTGCAAAGGTGCTAGAATATATTCCAATTTAGGGTTGATGCTAACAGGTGTTTTGTTTGAATAATCACAGTAATTTTGTATGGATAAATAATCACACCAGTGCTTTGTTTTGATTAAATCAGTTTTTAAAACTAGGGCTACCATTTTGGAGGATTCTAAATCTTTTTCTTTTTTTAAAGGAACATTTTTGCAATCCACTTGGTACAATGAATATACATGAATGCTTTGATCAGGGTTGCCTCAGACCCTTCCCAGTCTGCCCAGCTTGGGAAAGTATGGTGAAATTTAAAAGAATTAACATTTCACAGTATGAAGGCTATAGTGAGATACGTTACCTAGTAAAGTTTCATAGGTTAAGCACCCCTAATTTGAAAAGCTGCAAAGTGCTTTAAAATCCAAAATGGGAACAGACACAATGCTCAGAAGGTTTTGGAGTTTGGAGCACTTCACATTTTGAAATTTTTAGATGAGGGATGCTCAGCCAATAAAGACTACGCAGGTATTGCCAAATCCTAACTCTCAAATTGGAGACCCGTAGGTCCCAGGGGTTTAAGACAAGATACTCAGCACTCTTCTCGGAAGGCCTTATGAAAAAGCCGCCCCCCAACACACACACACATACACAGTGCTTCCCTCAGTCAGTCTGGAGAACACATGAATTTGATGTCTCCGACCATACTTTCTGCTCCAGGAGAGTCTCTAAATAGGTCAGTTTTTCATAGAGTAATGGTCTCCTGCATGTCTTGGACACTGACAGTGCATATATCTGCTTAGAAGGAAACTGTGTTTGTGTATATGCATAACTGTCCACCTTATGTGAGTAGGACAGCATGAAACTGAATAGACAGAGGAGCAATAAAAATATTGGAGGAAGACAGGAAAAAGTAGAGTTTAATGAAAATTTGGAAAATCATAAGCAAAGGAGGATTTAGTGGTCAAATGCCAAGGATAAGCATGCATGTCTAAAAGAATGGCATGAAAAACTTTTCACAGAATTTTAGGAGGAGGTAAAATGGAGATTCATAGCCAGTGTGGGATATAACTGAGTAATTCTTACTGCCTTGGTTGACAACATTTTAGAATTCGATCACAGAGAATACAAAAGGAAGGGCCTATGAGTTATCAGCCAATTTTATCTGTCACTTTTGTGACATTAATATATTAAATAACCATGGTAGATCCAAATTAGGAACAAGACCTAAGAAAATGTAAGTCATGAGGGTTTGAATCTGTGGTGGAGGAGATGCCACCACAGAAAGCAAGATTCAGAACGGCAAAGGTCAGCATTTGAAGAAGCCGAGAATGAAATGCTGTGGTTCAGCAACCTTGTCTAGTCTCGCTGCTTCCCGCTCTGGTGGCATTGTCAGCTCCCTGTGGCAGCAGGCCTGGGGCTTGGTGTTTGCCATCTACAGCAGTTCGGAGAAGCACAGGGACGGTAACCATGCTTCCCTTCTCTTCCCTTCTCGTGTGCCTGCTTTCCCAGGTCGTCGGGTTATTATTTGTGTCTTCTATACCTGAGAATATGAGGCGTGTGCCGGCTTGCTGTGTTAGAAAAATGTTGACATAGTCAGTGAACCTGTATGGTGGGAGGTAACTAACAGGTAGCCTGTAGGTTTAATTTGTTTACTGCATTTATCCACCATTCATTTTACCAAGTGGACTAAATAAATGGAGATTTTGGTCCAGATGGATCAAGGTCTTTGAATCCCAGGATTCAAAATTAAGAGAATTAGTGAAGGAGCCATACTTTCGATGGAAGAAAAAGATAAGAAACACTGCAGCTTTAATCCTCAGAGATATCAAAGAGCTGCACCTACCGTGCAGATAATCCTGAAAGCAGGCTCACACGGTACGCCTATAGAAACAGACTGTAGAAATAAACATTGCTTGTTCTCATTTACCGGAAAGACGGGAAGGTAACATGAAAGTAATGACCAGAAGTAATACAGAGTTTAATGTTTCTGACACCAGTTTGGCTCACACGTCTGTATTTCTTCTATTGTCACCCCAGACATCTTGGTGGACAAACAGTACTCACTTGTGACCTATCATAGAGACTGCATGAGTCCACGTACATTCAGGAAGCATTTTTCAGGGCTAAAGATGGACTCGGAGGTTATACAGGCACCATAGGTACCTCTTGGTAGGCCTCTTCCTCCCTAGAGTGGCATGGTGCTATCTTCTGACTGCTTTCGTTCCCTACTTCCTGTTCCTACAGGAGTTCCAAGTAAACTTGGCTGCATGGTTGTTCAGTTTTTCACAATAAAGCAAGTGTAACATCTGTATAACATTTATTATGTGTAGCCTAGTGTTACACATGGATATAGTACCTGTAATGCTCCTAGATTTTTTTTTTTTTTTTTTTTTTGGTCTTTTTGAGATAGGGTCTCGCTATGCAGTTCAGGCTGGCCTTAGCTCACTTTGTAGCCCAGGCTAGTCTCAAACTCGCAGCGATCGTCCTGCCTCAGCCTCCCGAGTGCTTGGATTACAGGCATGTGGCACCACGCCTGGCCTGCTCCTAGATTTTCAATGACTTACAAAATGTGGAAACAAATCACTCTTTGAGGCCGTCAGCTGACCCTTACTCTAGAATTTCAGTCTCTTCAGCATGAGACAAGATGAGCCTAAAGATGGAAACAGCTATTAGAACTTGATATGGGCAAAAGTAACTGCCACTCCTAGTGTACTAGTGTCCCCTAGTGTCCCTGATATGAGGTATGTACGTGAGTTTCATAACAGTGCTCAATGGGGATGTTCTGTACTCCAGAGTTCTTCCCTAACTGGTTAGTTTGTTGCCGGAAGCATTACTGCGGGTTGCCTGCATATTCTTGGAGATAAGACCCTCCCTGCATGCATATGTCACTGGAGTCATACACTTCATTCTGAGATTTTTCCTAGAAAGCACCATTTTCGGTAGCTCCATTGTAAGGCCAGAAGTGTTGTTGATGTTTTTTTTGTTTTTGTTTTTCTTCCGGTACCAGGAATTGAACTCACGAACTTGCACTTGCCAGGCAGGTGCTTTGTCGTTGAGCTAATCCCCAGCCTCAAGGCCAGAAGTGTTTACCCGTCTCCCCCATTGCTTCCAAATTTCATGCACAGTCAGGTGATGGAGGAGGAAGAACCAGCACACGAGCAGACTTGTCACATCTCTGTCATCTCCCCTTTCCTCACATTTCCCAGAGCCTGGAGTCTTTAGCATGGTCCCTGGCACTGCGCAGGGATGTCACTGTGGCTTTTCACCAAGTGTGCCTATTGCCAGGCCAGCGCAGGCTGAGCAGCTCTTTCTTGGGCCTTCCTCCTTTTTTCCCTGCAGTTTAAGCAGATCCTCATTACCATATGAATCAGGGAAAGATCCTCATGTCTCAGTCCTCCCAGGATAATTCTTCATCCTAACCATTAATTGATGAGATTTAAAGCTCGGGTGATGTTTTAAAACAAAAGAATCATTTCCTTAAATTTTATCACTTAGTATGTGCTAGGAAAAGAAGGAAGAAAGGAGTGGAATTAACATTTATTGAAAGAACTATTTTGCTCTAGGCATTTACATTTTGTTAATTAAACTATGTGAGGCAGGTGACATCACTGCAGCATGGTAATAATCAAATCACTTCTGAGTTTCTAAATACTAAGAAATTGGTGGAGTTGCAGTCTGAAGTGTGACCTCCCTAGTAGAGTGGCAGATGTTTTTCACACTATAAAGTAACATCCTAGGATCCCTCTGGCAGAACCTTACTGAATTCAGGGAGTGATGCAGGAAGAATTTGGTTCCTTTCCTCCATCATCTTTCACTACTTCCCTTCTTTCTCCCTTGTCACCTTCTTTTGAGACAAGGCCAAAGGCACTAATTCTGATCTTTTCACTAGTTGTGGCAGCTCCTGTCTTGCCACTGCTAACCTCCCACCCCGCTAAGCCAAATGTACCCAGTTTCCAGTGCTGCCTTCAAGAGAGGTAGGAACAGAGGTACTCACCAATTTTGAAAAAAATCAAGGCCAAACGCTGGGATTGGAGGTATAGCTCAGTGGTATGGCACGTCCTTACTATGTGTGAGGCCATGAGTTCAATCCCAGCACCATCAAAGAGCCAAAAAAAAAAAAAAAAAATCAATCCCACCTGGTCCTTAACTTACTTTTCTAACTGATCTGGGATATTTCTTGGTTTGGCCATATAATAATTAGTAATTTTAGTTATGAACTGCTGCTGATCATTGGACCCAATTTCGATTCCTATGTGGTGCCATAGCAGTTATGTGTAGTGTTAAATGTTTGCTTCTGCTGTTTTCTTGTATTATCTTGAGTTACCTCTTAAACCAAATTTTGTTGTTATGCCTTATTTGTATGGTTGGTTACATACACAGTAGCTGTCCATGTTTACAGAAATGAGGACTACACCTATTCCAGGCCTATCTATCACAGTCAAGTTTATGAGGCTTTGGCACCAAGACTGGGCACTTTTTGAGGACAGATATGCTGATTCATAAACAGCGATGGGTACTGTGTCTCAGTAGCCATTCTATTTCTTCAAGTCTTGTATTTGCCTAGGTAGAATGGTGATAATTTGTATCAAGGAGACAACTTCATTAAAATTAGAAAAATTTTCATTATTTGGTGATGATAATGGGAGAGAGATGCTGGTCCTTTATGGTTTTCCGTGGCAGTAAGATTGATCAGCTGGGGAATTGTTTAACATGTTCACAGTGGGGCCATAATTCTTACGTCTCACTGCTGGGGTGGCTTGAACTTCAGGTGGTACATGCATGACTGTCCCTTGCGTCAGCTTGTACAAGTGGATCTAATCACTTTTATCAGTCTTTTTTCCTAATATAATTAATAAAAAGCCACCTGATGGGAGAGTTATGCTTGTACCGCTGGTGGTTCAAGCCAGCAGGGAGGTGTTAAAGAAGGTCACGTTAATCACTGAGCAAATGGTGTGGTCAAGAATCTGAGTTAGAGTGC